ACCTTTACACGCAACTTGAGCTTATTCTCCCTGTCCAACCGAATATGATTGTTTATATCTCTGCAAAGAACAAAGTGAGATCGCATCCTAATTTTTGCATTAGGAATCAGAAAAGAAGACGCACTCTCGGGTCTGTTCAGGTGTGATATTGTATGTTTGAGGACCGAACATCGTTGAATGGCCAGAGACAGTGTTGTTCGAGAGCCGGATGTGCTCAAAGGCGGTTTCGGGGATGGACATAGCTTGGACCTTGCCGTCCCCCAGAGATCCGTCGGCGGCGATAAGTAGGAGGGTAACTGTGACAGGTGCTGCGAATGGCAGCGATTGCTGGATTTCCTCATGCTGCGCCCAGACTTCTACTGGAACCTCCGCAATCGGCGCGCGATTCAGCTCCTTGATCGAAAGGCATCGGTCAAAGTGCTGCGCTAAGACGGCGGTTCTGCGCGCCATCTTCTCTTCCTTCGGCTCGCCCTCTACGTCCGGCGGAAACTCGATCTCGGAGAAGCGCGTAATGAATTCATGGATATTCGCAAAGTCGAGCTCGAAGGTGAGGCGTACGATGGATTCCGATGTCTTCGTGTTGATGTGCATCCGCGTGCGGTGACTCTGGGTGAGGGCGAGGAGGTTAATGATGCCCAGGGAGAGGTGAAACGAGATGAATGGGTCCGCAAGTGCGCGCTCGATGAAGCGCGGGATGGGGCTTCCCGGCTGTCCGCAGTCAACCTTGTGCACCTTCCAGTGGAAAATTTGACATTCCTTCGAACAGTACCGCGCCTGGAGAGTGGGCTGATAAATTCCAATTTCTCGACGCTATGGACCACGCACTCCCTTGCACCTCGCACAGACCTTGATGTCTGTGCGGTTCACCGTCTTGGCACAGGAAGTACAGGTGGTCTCAAGTGCGTCCAGTTGCTGGCGCCGCTCCTGCTCCGTTGGTAGCGTAAGATCGTACGAGTGCCGCAGGTCCCCGTCGATCGGCCTGATATAGGTCATCGTGCGCCCTTCGTCTGGGAGGGGGATGTTCATTGTTTCCACCACTCTCTCTCCAGGGGCGACCTCAGGTGTAAAACGGCGGGGCATGTGGAGATAGTGGGCAAGTGCTACACTGTGACCTTTCAATCATGCTGCACAGCCCAACCAGAGCCCAGCTCTGATTCGTTTGATTCGGACCGGCTGTGTAATGATCCCCACGAGGAATGACGAGAAGAGAGTGGGACTCGCCCAGTCCTACTATCACCGATCAATCAATGGGACTCAGCCTCATTAGTGCGACTCGGGACTTTAATTGTGACTTAGATATGGTTGTTATAGTGTCTCGTAATTATTTTTCACGCAGGTTGAGGGTTTTTTCATAAAATTTACATAAGTTGGGCTTGTTTTCTATAAAATTCACACACCTTTAATATCTTCCTGGAAAAAATGCACACCAGGTATGAATGCGAAAGAAAAGCACAGCCTGTGTGATTTTCAACACACCGCTCCAAAAAATCAAAAAAAGACAGCACTGCTCCAAAAATTGAAACGAAAAGATGCCACTGCTCATGCAAAAATTAGCCCTGCCCAAGTTTGGTAAAAAAGAAAACACACAGGTTCCAAATTTACAAAACACACAGGTCTTGACTCATGTTGCATATTATTTACCTGCCACAATATCTATTGTAGCTCACAGTATTCCCTCCCTCCGGAGCTCCCATGCTATTTATTGAAGATTTCCGGCACCAAAAAGAAGAAGTTCCAATATTATTGAAACAAAAGAGGCAAGAGAACCGCGGTATATCCACCTGAACTTGTGTTGTACATTATTTACCCCCCAGAATACTTATTGTAGTTCACGATGTTTCCCCCTCCAGGGATTCCATCCTATTTATTGTGGACTTGAGGCACTCCAAAACAGATTTCTGAAATGTTATTGGAAAGAAAGAGCCCAGAGAAATGTGGTATAATCTACCTGATCTCTTGTTTTACATTATTTACTGCCAGAATATGATAGAACCATGACGAACATCTGTCTACGGGTTGTCTACCGGGAACTGGAACATAGTGACCCTGTTTATTGTTTTTACATCTGTATCTTACGGTGCCGGGTAATAAAAACCAGGGGATAGTCGTGAGCATAGCACGTGAATGGTTGAGGTGTTCAGCAAGGCCATCTTGAGTTAAGGAGTGATGTGTAGCGAGCTCCTACTCTAAGCACCTTGACTCCTGAGCCTATCTGTCCGCTTTCACCACTGGTCTAAGACTCAGTTAAACACGATATACAACAACCAAATACCCTACTCAAGGAGAAGAGGTATGTATATGTGCAAGGTCTGCAACACAATAGATTTGCAGTGATTACACTGATATATTCTCATTAAGGAGACCTTGATAATCTGTCCATAAGAAGTTCAATGATGTGTCTTTTTTCTAAACCAACACCGGTGGTGTGTTTTTTGTTTCGGTGGTGGTGCTTTTGGGTCAACAAGTACCTGTGTCGGATGATAGGTCTCAAGAAGGGGGGGGGGGGGTGTTGGGTTCCCAGTGGGTTGTGCATTCTTTGCATGGTTTTTTTTCAACATGTGCGAAGGGGTGCTCTTTTTGAGAAAGCTGTATGTTTTTTGATGAAAACGTGTGTCAATTGCATTAATTATGAGACACTATTGCCCCCATACTTAGACGCATCAATTTTCCAGTCCGCGCATCACGCGATCGGCGGCGACTTTGAAAATTTCCCCCCTTGACTGCTCTACTGCTTTTGGCCACGCTGTTACGAAATCAGACACAAATTGTACCATGCGTTGACCCAAACTATGGCATTTTGGCCAGAAAACCACAGCCAGAAAAGAACTGTTCAAAAGTCTGCTTATTTATTCGTTTATTGTGCTACCACTGCCATCGATGCCAGTTTTATTAACACGCAGATTTGCAGTTGACTGTAGTGATGAGTGAAATTAGCCAACAATACAGGCTGAACAAGGGGGGATTTACTCAAGGTAGAAAGGATGGAATAAGACTCAGTAGCTGGATGGTCCAGCATCTCCTCTCCATGGATTGCATCCGGGGTTGCAAGAAGAAAGTCACCCGTTCCACTGGGGTCTGAGCCATTTCAGAGATTTGGTGGGTTTCTTTTTTACTTCGTCAGTGCATGTAGGAGGAATCGAATAAGACTCGGTCTCCTCTTTATATCAAAGTCGTGCTGAGGAGAATGTGAGCTGTTCAATCTGGTCTGAACCTTAACTTGACGGTTCTGTTTTTTGGGAATACACCACCATTTGAACCTCATGTGTCAGTTGTAAATAACTGTACAATATATCGCGAAATATGTAAAAATTGTGGCCCCGATGTTCTGTTGACATCGAGATTTTAATATTTGTGAGATATTGTATGAAGATCTGCCACACATCCAGAGAATATTTCATGTAAACATTCCAGGTAAGCAGAAGACGCTCGTCCTGGGCCATGGACGCTTGTCTCAAGATATTTTTTTAACCGGCTGCAATTCACCCCATATATTAAACTTTCAAGGGGGGAGAAATAGGCCCAGTGGCGGATGGTCCGCGTCTGCAATACTTAAATAGGATGGTGAACACATAAGCAGAAGACGCTCGTTCGACTCGAGCCTGGGTTATGAACGCCTCAGCCTTGTCTCTTTTTTGTTTATTCAACTCGTTGAATTTCAACCAACCCAACTGACCTCGGATTTTTTTTTCCAACTCGTTCAAATGAAACCACACCAACTGAGTTGCTGGGTATAGAAACATGGGGAGGGTTCTGCGTCTGCGCAATGTTACGAGTCAAGTCCTAATGTGAAAGATCATTAGTAGAAGTAGCTCGTTCGAATCGAGCTTGGGCCATCTGGGTCTCCTTGGGGTATTTTTTGTTCAACTCAAGGTTCAAATTAAACCAACCCAACGGAGTTTATAGGGAAGAAAAAAAAGGTCCAGTAGCGGAATGTCCGCGTCTGCCCAACTTTCATCTTTGGAGATTCGATGTCTGAGAAGAAGTAAGTAGCTCGTTCGATTCGGGCCTGGACCATCACGGTCGATCATGATCACAATTTCTTTTTTTCATTTTGCTCGTCAAAATTCATCCCATCTAGTTAAGTTTCTAAAGAGGAGATAAAAGCCCAGTGGAGGGGTGTCCGCGTCTGCGATACTTAAAAAGAAGCTGGAGGGAGTTGAAGCAGAAAACGCTCGATCGATTCGGCCTGGGCCATACTGCGAACTTGTGCAAACCCTTTTTTCATTTGTTGCTGAAATTGAACCAACCCAACTGAGTTCCTGGGTATAACAGTGTAGGCCCAGTAGCGGAAGGTCCGCATCTGCTCAACTTCCTTTGATTCAATGTTTAAGAAGAAGTATCTCGTTCGATTCGGGCCTGGGCCATAGTCAAGCCAGTGAACCAGTGTTTTTCTTTTATTCAACTCAAGGCTCAAATTAAACCAACCCCACCGAGTCTCTAGGGAAAAGGTTAAGGCCCAGCAGCTCATGGTTCCGCGTCTGCGACTCGTGGGGAAGTATGTGACTATCAGTGGAAGATGCTCGTTCGAATCGAGCCTGGGCGGCTGGGGTAGTAAACCATCGGATTAAAACTTGGGATTTTTTTTTTCTTACTCGTTCAAATGAAACCAACCCAGCTGACTTGCTGGGTATAGAAATATAGGCCTGGTAGCGGATGGTTCCACATCTGCAAAACTTGGAGGAGGCGCAGCCTGCAGAAGTCTAAGCAGAAGTAGCTCGTTCGACTCGAGCCTGGGCCATTCTTGATGGTCACGATAAATTCTTTTTATTCACCTCGTTGGAATTCACCCCATATATTGAACTTTCAAGGGGGGAGAAATAGACCCAGTGGCGGATGGCTCCGCGTCTGCAATACTTAAATAGGATGGTGAACACACCAGCAGAAGACGCTCGTTCGACTCGAGCCTGGGTCGTGAACCCCTCCGCCTTGTCTCTCTTTTTTTATTATTCAACTTGTCGAATTTCAACCAACCCAACTGAATTCCTCGGTATTAAAATATAGGCCCAGTGGCGGATGGTCCGCGTCTGCAATTCTTGATCGGGGAAAATTATTGAATAGACAGATGGTGCTCGTTCGAATCGAGCCTGGGCCATGAATCCGGCGCAAAAGAGACCTTTTTTTCTTCTTTTTGTCCTCAAGCTCCGACGTGATTTCAGTGAAAGAACCAAATAGTCCCACTGACTTTCTAAGAAATATTCCACGACACCTCCAGTCTCTCGCAGTCAGACTCTAAAAAATATTTATGTTAAATGTTCCAATATACGGTAGATCTCGACACCGCCACATCCACTATCTGATCTGTACCACTATGCCCTCTCCGGAACTGCTCTCGTTCATCGATGCCTCTGCACCTGCGTTCATCGCGCGGCTCGGCGAGGCTGTCGCGATCCCGTCCATCTCCGGCGAGCCCTGCGCCGGCCCGCGGTGATCGAGATGGCCGACCACAAAGTTGTTTGCGACGCGGTGGTGCAGGTCTGGTACGGCGCTATGCGTCGACGTCGGCAATACGACATCCTTCCTCCCTCCTTTCTTTCCCTGGGGGTTCACCGCCTGTTCTTGCTTGGCGTCCGTACGGCGGGCTGCGTCCGTGGCGGCGGTATGGCGCGATGTCGGCGCGCGGGTCCGGTACGTAGCTTCCTTCCTTCTCTCCATGGGGGTGTGCTGGCGACCCGTTTTTTCCCCCGTGGGTCACAGCTGTTCCTTTCTCCGGCGGTATGACGGGCTGCGTAGGTAGCGGTACGACCGGCACCAACCCAATCTGCTATGCGCATCCTTCCCTCTTTCTTTGCTTTTTTCTTTGGGTGGATGGAGATATAACGCGCACGCTCGTACGTACGCCACGACGCCGCGATGCGCTTCCTGGCTGGTCTCCTTGCATGTGTTTCCTCGAGTGTGCTTTCTCCGTCACAACTCAGCCACGGTGCGGGGCGTTGTTGAGGCGGTTTGGTATGCGATTGGGCCGCTCGTCGATGCACCGCACCGCAGGCATGGGCCGCGGCTCTCGCCGGTGTGGCGAGGGGATATGCGTCGCCGATAAGCGAGGCGACGTGCCGTGGTGAGGGCTCGCGACGGGTGCGCGTACCGATCGTTCCTGGAGATGACACAGACGCACGGACGATGCTGCCCGTCGTGAAGGTCATGGGACGATGCTTGGAAGGCGCGCGCGCGTCGGTGGGATGGAGATGCGGAGGACGTCTGGGGTGTGGTGCAAGGCGATCATAGGCAACCCTGTCGGCTATGGAAAGGGGATGAAGAGCGCGAGCGGTGGCCTGGAAGATCCGCCGTTGTGGCTGCGGGGTCGCGGGGGTGTGGGGACGCGGCGGGGCTGCGTCCCCTTAGCCTTCCATGGATCCACTACCGTGTCTTCGCCCCCTCCCTTATCCTACCCGCCTCCGTCCGCTTCGCCTTCCCTCTAGTGTTTATTTCGTTGACTCAGCGCGGGACGCGGATGTGGGCTTCACTTCCCTGCGCGCGTACTTTCCCCCAGTTCCTTCCTTCTTCGGCTGAAAGATGTTGAATAAAGTCGCTGAGTTCTTCCTTACCGGAGGAAACGCAAGATTAAATTCTCGGAAATGTCCAGTCTCTTACTCCTATGCCCTTTTTTTCTCGGGGGTCTTCTCTTTTACTTGTTTAATGGAGGGTTGTGGGGATTTTCTTTCTCGGTGCGATATTTTTCTGTTGGATTATTCACGGGCGAGGGCGCCTCAGTTGATTCCCGCCCTTTTTATCTACTTGGTCTGTACAGTAGAAGTGAGTTAAAAGCAGACGCAGCTCGTTCGAATTGAGCCTGGGGAGTGTTCCTTTAAATGGGCCTTCTTTTTCATTTTGCTCGCTGAAAACCACTTTGCGAGTTGCCGGTTTGATCCCCGCCCCTTGCCTCCGCCCAGCTCGTAAACACAGGTCTGTCAAGCTGAGGAGGCATCGGCTACATCGATACTGAACGGCGTACTCAAACAGGCTACCCCCATGCCCCCGAAAGCTTTTGACCTCCCTTTCGAGATCACCTCGGAAATCTTCCTCGGCTCTCTGCCCTCCCATGGACGTATTCAACCAGCAGCAGACGAACCTCCCCTGCTGCTAGCGCAGATATGCCAGCAGTGGAGATCTGTTGCTCTCGCAATTCCAGAGCTGTGGAGCTCGATAGCTATCGACCATAGCTCAACCAAAGCGACTTACGTCGGCCTTGCGCGTCCGGATCCGCCACCCAGGGCGATAATCAATCTTGTCGACCAGTGGTGCATGCGGGCTGGGAGCCACCCGCTCTCCATCACAATGAAGAGGAGGACGTGGTTTCTGCGCTTTCCGTCTACTTCCCGCGCTGCAGGACCATCGAACTGAGCATTCCCGCCGCGGATTTCGCTGGAATCCACACCATATCGATCCCATTGCCTTGCCTGCGCAAATTCAGTGTATATGTCAAGTCTCGTGTTTGGTCGGCGTTTGTGGCATTCCCCAATGCTCCTGGTCTGGAAGAACTGCGTCTATCGGCCCCGCCCATATCTTCCCTCCGGCTGAGGCTTGGGGTTGCGTCGAGAGCTCTCACACGCTTGAAAATTGTGTACACCATCACCTTTCAGGAGTGCCTCGACATCCTCGAGAATTTGCCGCAACTTCTCCATTTTTGGGTATTCGACCTTTCGGGCAGTCCAAGCGAACTGCAGGACGGTCGGACGCCGGAATCACGTATCTTCCTTCTTCAGTCTCTACACATCAGCGTAGATGCGAACCTACTCGCACTCATTACCTCCCCCACCTTCGGCGCCTGACGATCAGATTCCCCGGCAGTGTCTTCAGCAATCGGCTCCTTACCTTTTTGTCGAGATCCCGCGCCAATATCAACTACTTTAATATCTGCTGCCAATGGTTGCGCTGCGACCGTGCACTTGAGCTGTGTCTTCAAGCGGTACCCAACGTGTCTGTGCTGCGGATCCGTCTTGATGGGCCCTCTGACCTCGAGAGCTTTGTCAGCGACCAGCACGTTCTCGACCAGCCCAACATTTTCCCTTCCCTCCACACTCTTCATATTCGGGACTACCGTCATCCATTTCAGCCCGCTGTCCTCTTGCTCACGCGCTGTTTCCGCGCCCTCTCGGCTCGGGGTGTCCGGATCCACGTCGAAAATCTGACATTTGAATTGCCCGAAGACTTGAAGTTAAATGAGAGTATCAGTGAGTGGCTCCTGTCCGTTTGTTTTAGCAGCATTCTAACCAATAATCGTCAGTTGAAGAACTGGCAGATCCTGGCAATCCGTTCCCACCACTGGATTTTTTCTGAAACTTTGGTTGTAGAGCATGTTATTCCTTTCCACACACACCAATCGAGCCTGAACCATATTTTGTTATTTTCCTTCACATCCCGTATATTAAGATTTCAACGGGAGAGAACGGTATAGTGGCGAGTGGTCCGTGTCTGCTAAACATTAGATGCAAGATAACCTCGAAGCACAAAACGCTCGTTCAAATTGAGCCTGGGCCATGAATGAGGGCATATTTTTCTTTATTTATTTGGGGTTGAAATTCATGCCATCTACTAAGGTTTCAAAGGAGGAGAGGAAAGGCCCAGTGGCAGATGGTTCCGCATCTGCTAAATTTCATGCAGTAGTGTGATTATTCGTAGAAGACGCGTTCGACTCGAGCCTGGGCCATCGGTCGGATTTTTTTATTCAACTCAAGGTTCAAATTAAACGAACCCAACGGAGTTTATAGGGAGGAGAAAAAGGGCCCAGTAGCGGAAGCTCCGCGTCTGCTCAACTTTCTGATCTTTGGAGATTCGATATCTAAGAAGAAGTAGCTCGTTCGATTCGGGCTTGGGCCATGCATGGTTGACTCGACGATTTCTTTTTCTTTTTCCTCGCTGAAAATCAGCCATTGTTCTAGGTCTCAAAGGAAGAGAGAAAGGCCCAGTGGCGGATGGTCCGAGTCTGTGAAAGCTTAAGAAGCAGGTTTCAAGGTTACTGTATGCGGAAGTAGCTCGTTCGAATCGGGCTGGGCCGGGATCCGGAAACATCTTTGGATGTTGTTTTTTTAACAAAACTGCTTGAATTTGAACCAACCCAACTAAGTTCCTAGGAATGGGAATATAGGCCCAGTGGCGGATGGTTCCGCGTCTGCTAAATGTTGACGAGTATATTTGCTCAAGCAGAATACACTCGTTCGACTCGAGCCTGGGTCGTGAATCCCTCCGCCTTGTCTCTTTTTTTATTCAACTTGTTGAATTCAAACAACCCAGCTGAGTTTTCAGGAATGAAAATATAGGCCCAGTGGCAGATGTTCCGCTTCTGCGATACTTGTGTAATAATGAAAGAAGAGTAAGCGGAACAAGCTCGTTCGAATCGAGTCTAGGCCATATCCTATCCTCAAATGCTTTTTTTTCAACTCGTTGAATTCAAACCAACCCAACTGAGTTTTCAGGCATGAAAATATAGGCCCAGTGGCGGATGGTCCGCGTCTGTGATTCTTAATTCTGCCGTGAGGTGTCTGAAGTAGAATACGCTCGTTCGACTCCGGCCTTTCTGTGTCTTCAAGAATTTTTTTATTCAACTCGAGGTTCAAATTGAACCAACCCAGCTAAGTGTGTGAGGCTCCCTAAAACCCGACACAGCGACATGGCGACCAGCCTTCAGGAAGTCCGACACAGCGCAAAAAAAAGCCGACACATAGGCCTAATTCTCATCAACTCCGACACATTGCCAAGAAAGAATCGCCCGAGTCCTGACTTGCATTTGCCGTTTCTATTGAACACAGGTATGGCTACATTTTCTCATGAGACTAGCCTAATGATGTTGTTCAAGTCTCGACCCAACCACTGACTACTCTCCACCGTGGCATCGCCCACACAGATACGAACTTGAAGACAGCCCAGGAACGAGTATTTTGGAACGTACACTGTTTGCATTCCAAGTCTGAGTCGCATTCACATCCACTCTCTGTTCAACAGCAAGTCACAATTTACAGCATATAATTTCATGTACAAAGAGAAGTACGTTAAGAACAGTGAAGATTACGACTATGTAGGTTCACTGGTATCACCGTATAATTCGCAATACTCCTCCGGGAATCGAGCAAGGAATTCGAACGATGTGTAAATCTGGTCATCTGTGTGCCTGATGCTTCATGGCTTCGGCTTGCGCTTCGGACTATATGGTGTGTGGTTAGATCGGAAGGTAATGAGGGGGTGCGACTCGCCGTTTCTCCCCGGGGCTCGATGGTACTAGAGGGAAATTCCTAGATGTTCGATGAAATCATCCACGGCGTCAATCATTCGGACACGAATTACGCACCTTTCGCTGATGGTGGGGTCCAGGAGGTGATCCAGATCTCGCTGACAGAGCCATGCCTGGAGGTCATCCAGGTCAACCCATGGGGTGTCAGAAAACAATTGCGCGTTCTTGGTCCTGAAGTTTGCAGTAAACAACTGTGGAACATCAGCTTGCATTGAATGGAAGGTCAAGGAACATACCGCATCACAAAACTGCTCCAGAACCGTGTCGGGGAGGCGCGTCAAAAGCGCTGCGAGCTCCGCCATTGCGCAACGTTGCGGCAGCAAGAATATGGGAAGAAAGAAAAGCACTGGATACCGGATCAACAATAACGCCATCCAATGCCAAGCTACGTTAGCCGAGTGGGCGTGTCGGGTGTCCTGAAGTTGTTGAAGAATGTGTCAGGTTTGCTGAAAACTGTGTCCCATGCGGCGAAATGTGTCGGATTTGCTGATCTACGCGCGGGATTTCTCAGATGTGTCGGATGTTCTGACTTTTGACAGGTGTGTTGCTGTGTCGGGTTTCCTATATACTCAAGTGTGTGGGTATAGAAATATAGGCCCAGTGGCGGATGCTTCCGAATCTGCGAAACGTGAAATTGTAGTAAGCGACAAGCAGAAGACGCTCGTTCGAATCGAGCTTGGGCCATCACGGTCGATCATGATCACAATTTCATTTTTCATTTTGCTCGTCAAAATCCATCCCATCTAGTCAAGTTTCGAAGGAAGAGAGAAAGGCCATGGTCCGCGTCCGCTATTCTTAGCGGGAAACCGTGAAAGTAAGCGGATGGCGCTCGTTCGAATCGAGTCTGGGCCATACATACCAGTTCGTGATGGCTATTTTTATTCAACTCGTTCAAGTTCAACCGGGTCTAATAGAGTTTCAAGGTGTTGGCTGCGGAGAGCGCGGAGTTATTGTCGACGGAGATTCAAAAACTTTGGGGGAGTCGAAAGGGTGCAACTTGAGTGGATGCAAGGTCATACGTGGCTCAATGTTCTGTTGGGGGTTTTTTTTTCTTCGCTTAAATGCAGCTCTGGGTAGCAGAGAAAAAGGCCTGGTCGCAGGAGGTACCGCGTCTGCGATACTTATTAAGTACATGAAAAAAATTGGAAGTAATCTCAAGTATTTTTTTTAACCCGCTGCAATTCACCCCATATATTAAACTTTCAACGGAGGAGAAATAGGCCCAGTGGCGGATTGTCCGCTCTGCAATACTTAATAGAATGGCGAACAACACCAGCAGAAGACGCTCGTTCGACTCGAGCCTGGATCATGTTTAAATCTCATTTTTCTTCAACTCCGTTAAATTCACCTATTTATTCAGGTTTCCAAGGCTGAGGTAAAATCCCTGAGCCATATGTCTTTTTTTTTCCAACTCAAGGTTCAAATTGAACCAACCCAACTCAGTTGCCAGGCATGAAAGTATAGGGATGGCTCCGCGTCTGCGATGCTTTACAAAAGTTCCAAGTAAGGAGAAGACGCTCGTTCGAATGGGGCCTGAGCCACTAGTACTATGGGGTTTCCCGTGAACTTTTTTTATTCGCCTCGTTAAAACCATCCCATCCATCAAGGTATCAAAGGAGGGTGGAGAAAGGCCTGGTAGCGGAAGGTCCGCGTCTGCAATACTGAAGTCGTGTCTATCTATTGGTGTTTAAGCAGATGGTGCTCGTTCGATTCGAGCCTGGGTCATGGGGAGGCAAGATTATAACAGTCTTTTTTATTCTCCTCACCCGGGATCAAATTCAACGAGTCTCATAGAGTTTGTGGGTGAGAGACGAAGGCCCAGCGGCGGATGGTTCCGCGTCTGCGACTCGTGGGGAAGTATATGATTATCAGTGGAAGATGCTCGCTCGAATCGAGCCTAGGCGGCTGGGTGGCGGCCAACAGTATCGGATTTAAAACTTGGGATTTTTTTTTCCAGCTCGTTCAAATGAAACCAACCCAGCTGAGTTCCTGGGCATAGAAATATAGGCCTAGTAGCGGAAGGTCCGCATCTGCTATTCTTACACTCTTTCGAAACGAATGTGGAGTTTAAGCAGAAGTAGCTCGTTCGAATCGGGCCTGGGCCATCGTCGATCAACTCCGTTTTCTTTTTCATTTTTCTCGCTGAAAATCAGCGATTGTACTAGGTTTCAAAGGAGTAGAGAAAGGCCTAGTGGCGGATGGTTCCGCGTCTGCAAAATGTAAGATTGTAATACATGTGCGGCAAGCAGAAGACGCTCGTTCGAATCGAGTCTGGGCTATAGCGTTCTAGAATCTCTCGATTTCTTTTCCATTTTGCTCGCCGAATTCACCCATCTATTGAGGTTTCAAAGGAGTAATAGAGAAAGGCCCAGTGGCGGATGGTTCCGCGTCTGCGAAACGTGGGATTGAAATAAGTGAGAAGACGCTCGTTCGAATCGAGTCTGGGCCATCATTCTTGAGACTGGTCCTCAAAAACTTTTTTTTCCAACCCGTTGAATTTCAACCAACCCAGCTGAATTTTCAGGAATGAAATATGGGCCCAGTGGCGGATGGTCCGCGTCTGCGATACTTAACCCTCTGAAATTGTTGAAGTTGAAGCGGAGGACGCTCGCGGCCCGCCTGGGCCATATGCTTCCAATACCATTTTTTTCTTCTCTTTGTCCTCGAGCTCCGACGTGATTTCAGTGAAAGAAACAAATAGCCCCAATGACTTTCTAAGAAATAAAAAAAGATTTAATCTTCCAATATAGACGACACCGCCACATCCACTATCTGATCTATACCAGCACGATGCCCGCCCCTCCGGAATTGCTGTCGTTCATCGATGCCTCTGCGCCTGCGTTCATTGCGCGACTCGGCGAGGCCGTTGCGATCCCGTCCATCTCCGGCGAGCCCCTTCGACGTCCCGCTGTGATCGAGATGGCGCACTGGCCAAGCACTGGCTGCAGCTGCGCGCCGTCGGGGCCTCCACGCGCCTCGCCGACCTAGGCGTCGAAACCCTCTCCTCTGGGAAGACACTCCCCCTCCCGCCCGCTATCCTAGGCAAAATCGGGGACGACAACCGTGGCGCGCGAGGACGGGTGGGCGAGCGAGCCGTTCGTGCTCACGGAGCTCGCGGACGGGAAGCTCGTGGGGAGGGGCAGCAGCGACGACAAGGGCCCGGTGCTGGGGTGGGTGAACGTGCTGCAGTGGCACCACGGGCACAAGAAGGAATTGCCGGTGAACCTGGTGTTTTGCTTCGAGGGGATGGAGGAGAGCGGGAGCGAGGGGCTGGATGCGCTGGTCGAGCAGGAGAAGGACGCCTGGTTCAAGGACGTGGACTGCGTCGCGCGCATTTTGTGTTTCCTCCCTTGTAGGCAGGTGCGGTGTGCGCGATTGGGGTGCGGTGCGCCCCTGTGGCCACGTTTCAGAGTCGCGCGTTCGCAAGTCCGTTGCAGGCGCGCCCGGGTGTGTGAGTGTCCGTACAACGGTGTCGGTGTCCGTACAATGGGCTGCGCCGGTGTCGTCCTCGCCTCCCTTTTACCGTTTCTTTTGCTTTTCTTTGGTGTGATGGTGTATCATGTACGTGTGGTGGCTGGCTGGACTCGACTCCCTCTTCGAACACGCTCCCTTCACAGCGGGGTTGGTGGGCGATTGTGGTTCGATTCGGGCCTGGGTCATAGATCCATGTCCAGCTTCTTTTATTGAACATGTTAATTTCAAATCTGTTTATCGAAGTTGCCAGGTATGAAAATACAGGCCCAGTAGCGGATAGTTCCGCGTCTGCGATTTGATGACTCTTGTGAGAGTAAGCCGAAATAGCTCGTTCGATTCGGGCCTGGGTTATACGCTGTTGCTCGACGGCATTTTTATTCAACCCGTTGAAATTCTACCAACTCCGAGCGGTTAGCGGTCAGTGGGTGATGTCACGTTAATCGACGAGGGCTTTAGAGCACTCAACTTGAGCTTGGGTAGCTCAACAAATTTTAGGTGTCAAAATACGTCGGAGATGTTTCTTCGAATTCCGCTGCCTCCGAGTGCGAGTCGAGGAAATTGAATAAGCAGATGACAGCTTTTGTTCGCCATAATAACCTATTCAGCCGCAGCAAATCATGCAGCGTGGAAGAAGAAAAAATGTGAATCGACACTGGTCAGGACCAATGCCCCCGGGAGGATTCGAACCCCAGCTCCCACTAGTGGTTCTTGGAACGGTTAACGGTCAGTGGGTGATTTCACGTTAATCGACAAGGGCTTTAGAGCGCGCAACTTGAGCTTGGGTAGTTTAGCAAATTTTAGGTGTTGGAATACGTCGGGGATCTTTTTTCGACCGCCATTGCTTCAGGGAACTGAGTAGAGTAGATTGTATCTCCGGCCCTTGTTCTCCATAAAAAATCCTCCACCCCAGCAAATAATTTAATGCTGAAGAAAAAAATTGCGCACAAGGTGGGTGATTTCGCATTAATCAACAAGGGCTTATTAAAATGAAACTGAAGTATGAACCAATCGACGTCACGGTCCGGAGAAGGGGAAGTAAAAAAATTGTACCCCAGACCTCTGAAGTGGTATAAAACCTTGAGTTAATCGTCTATTCCAGATTAAGCTTGTGTAAGGGATTTTGTTCTAATAAAAAGAGAAGACATGTATGCCTCAGGGAGGAGTAGTACGCAATAATAGTCGGTGGCCGATTGTCGCTACTGGGTGACTTCCCGTAAGACTAAAATATTCTGGCGCAATTTCTCGGGGTGCCAGTGATGGGATTGATGGGCACTATAATCGCGTTTATTCACACTGCAGATGTTTCCCGTAAGCAAAATAATACATTTAGTTGATTAGATTGTGAAAAATCCTGTGCTTCAGGATGCAATGGACTGGGGGAGTTGTGCACAGTGAGCTGTTAGAGAGGTGAGGTGTCTTCCTGCCGCATCCTGCAAACTTCTCGCAGGAATCCAATGGTAAAAAGCAATCATTTTGAGGTCCGTTAAATGCCGGAAAGGGGTGAATGAGGGCGGAGGACGGTTGCCCATGTTGTCAAGTTTAATGTACTGACTCAAGTGTGTGCAATTGACGCCGTTCGGCGTCAACTGGGTAGCGGAGAGTTTGTGACGGGAGTGGTTTGGCGGTGATGGTCAATCATTTTCGTCCCAAACGGATAATGGGAGCTCAAATAATCTATTCGAGGGGGGGGGACCCCTCCTCTAGATTTGAATAAATTCGAGTGATGGCAGAATATATTTCACCCCGTTAAGGTGATGGGGTCCTGACAGGTGTCGTCGGCATCACGGCGGAAATTGCGAAAATAATCTCCTGGAATATAACAAGCTTACGGGAAGTCACCCACTCATATATATGTATATGGTTCAACATATTTTACATCAACGGCTATCTTTTAACTGGGATACAATTCATTTAATATCTACTCGCTGATGATGCTGAAGAAAGAGTTGAGGAAGGAGAAATAAACAGAGCACAATAAGGACAAAGCAATCACTCGTGATTGCGCTTTTCTCTTCTTACCAACACATCGCTTTGTTCTCGCCACACTGCTTGCGACACTACAGTTTATTCTGTGCCTTTCAGAGATTCAAACAGTGAGCGAAGGCTCCCTCTCGCTGTCCACTCCCCTGACATTCCAAGCCTTAGGCTAGTTCCTAGACCTCTGGAGTCTGGTGCCACGCACGAGGGGTCAACAATGCCAATGGCCGAATTTGAGGATATCGCGAGCAGCAAATCTTTGCGCTCGGATATTCGCGCCCATATTTCCGAGTTAGACGCTCGTATCCTGGCTCTCGAAGAATCCCTTGCGGTTGCGCGCAGCGAGCGAGAGAACTTGCAGTCGCGCCTGGATCATAACTACAGTTACCCCATCCTCACCCTCCCTGTCGAAATCACATCGGAAATATTCATTGCTTTCCTCCCGGCGTACCCCGAGCGTCCCCCGATTACCGGGCTTCTCTCCCCTGCGTCGTTGGGACAGATCTGCCGGAATTGGCGCGAGATCGCATTCAACACGCCCTGGCTATGGAGAGCCATTAAAATACAGCTGGGCAACGGAAGCTCATTGGATGCGCAACTAAATTTGCTCACCACTTGGCTCTCACGGTCGAAAAACTGTCCTCTGTCCGTCTCCTTCGAGACAGCTATCGATTTTACCTCCATGCAACTACCTCATTTCACGGCCGCCCTTCTCTCGCACTCAGCACATTGGGAACACATCCGATTAATCATTCCTTTCGACGATCTTCGCTGGCTTGATGGCCCGTTCCCTCTGCTACGTGATCTGACTTTCGGGACCAGCGACCCTCCCGAAAGGGGAGGCGAGACCGTGACAACACTTTTTCGGGATGCACCCCAATTGAAGAGCATTGTCCTCTGTGTAATGTATATTCCTTTTCAAGTGGTCCTACCATGGGCACAGCTAACCAGCATCTCGGCTCAAATGCTTGAGCCCGAAGTGGCGGCCGACATTCTGCGGGACGCTACTGCCCTTGTAGAGTTCACCTGCACCCTTATGGAAGATGATATTGTTCCGGACTTCGTGCCACCACTTGTTCATCTCCAATCGTTGATCCTACGCGACGACGGAATTGATTCTGACCCCCAAAAGCTACTTCTCGATGCGCTGACGGCGCCGGCTCTCCGACATCTCTCAATTTCGGAACGCGAGCTCGGCCATGAACCCATTTCGACCATCGCTGCATTTCTCTCGAGGTCTGACTGTTACAGTTCCCTCCAGTCTTTGCACGTCAGCAAGGCCAAGCTGCCGGCAATTGTGTATCGCGTGGCATTTCCCTTTATTTCTATTTCTGTCGAACGGGTTCGCGAAGGGGAAGCCTCCGAGAACGCTTAAGCTCTCATATCTTGTGCGTTCCTTTTTTCCCCCCGAAAGCGTATTACTTCCGCTTATATTGCGAAACACTCTCGCCCGCAGATTTTTCATGCCATTGCAGTTTTAGTCTGTTCTTAATAAAAGTACAATTGGGCTAACCCGGGAATGAATGTTCTCGTCATTAGCGGGTATCGTGTTGTAGGTCAATCTTTTGGGCCTTTTCATGTTCGGCATGGAAGTCCCATCGTGAGAAACAGCGTCTGAATTCTTATATGGTGTGGAAGTTGCATCACGCTAATATATGGATTCCCAGCATCAACCCAGCATTATAGTTACACGCTGCGCTAGGCTACAGGGAGCCTCTCTAGAAATAATGGGTAAACACAGAGGCTCAATGTCATTGGGGAGCTTGCCACCCCATTTATGCGAGTCGGGTCCTGCATCCACTGTTCAATCCCCCTACGGAGATGTCGT